AATAGATAAACGTTGTGGTTGATTTTTAAGAAGTTGTAGAGTTTTTCATTTCACTCAATTTTGTTTGAAAATGTTTTAAAAACTCAATATTTCTTGAAGACGTTTATTGATTTTCTTCAGATCGACACGTGGGATATTCTCTCGGTTGGATTTTCGTTTGAGTTCTTGTTGAATCTGGTCTAAAGATAATTGAATCACTGCTCTTTAAATAGATCCTATTTTTAAGACACCCGGTATACTATTATCGTTTTTAAACATTTCTTTTTATAAATGCATCTTGGAAACATTTGAAAAGGCTTAAAGGAAAAAAATCAAGTGGTTACAGTATAAACTATACAGATACTTTGTCCTTTGTTGGAGGGGTGTCACTGTTAGACTCCACATTATCTGTGCTTTCCACAAAGATCAAACTCTACAAGACAGACCCCCTTCCCTCCCCCTACTTATATTTCCAACAAAATTTAATTATTTGGTGGCGCCGTTGCCGCTGTTAAGAAGCTTTCTTTCCTTTAGTGATGAGGAAAGTAGCCCTTCTTTTATTTAGTTTAAAAAAAAAAATGTTAAAGATCAAATCATCAATCCACAGTGAGGTCAACTTTTGGCTCAGCACAGATTAATTCTTTTATCAAACCAAAAACAACAAGATCTGATCTCGATCCAGACCATCATCATGCAAATGGTTGGAGACGGTTACTTTATGGAGACAGTACATTTAAGGTACTCGTATAAAAAGAGAAGGAAAGCTAAAAAGTTATTGTTTTGTTGGGGTTTTTTGGGGGTAAGAGTAAGCAACAAATGTACAAGTTAACCACAATGATAGAATCAATGCAGCATTCCATCCACAAACAACACAGCATTGATCCAAACGTTCACTCAACTACTGACAGTAGTGACATTGGCATGCAAACATTAAATTTATATAACAGAAGGTTTACAATGTAGAAATGTCTCTTCTCGAGTGATTGCATTGATAACACTGCCCTTTGGAACTCTATAATTGGTCGTTTTTAAGGACAAGCGGGCTAACCCAGATTTCGAGGGTTTCCAGAAATCTTGACCTACACCAAAAGTGGGCATTGCCCTGCCTATAGGAGAATTTTGTTTTCATTTGTGCATATATTTGTTTGTTTTTTAGAGAGAACTGTCCTTGTTTTTTAAAGAAACTGAACAAGGGGGCAAAAGCTTTACCTTCGTTTTTCTCAAAACAGCATTTTCCGGGATAGCCCCCTTGTGCTTAAAGGGGACCAATTGGCCCCTTCAAGTCTCTTCAGAATTGATGAAAGAAACATTTTTACAAACCAAAAAATTCAAATATTTACGGTTTCATAAGCATACTGTTCCCTTTTACTCTAATTCTTTCTGTACACATGGTGCCCAGCCTTTACCTAAATAGTTATCTTTTTTCCCCGATCAATGTGATTTGCAAAGTCGTGCTCTACAAAACGTGCTCTGTTCTTCAACTTCTATTTTTATGAATAGTCTAATCACTACTAATCTGTGGGTGGTTGGCGGGTGCTCTGGTGTGGTTTGCTTCTTCTTTCCTATCAAACGTCTATCGTCCTGATCTCTCCTCCTTCTATTTTGTGTTTTTGTAACTCTCTTGTAACACCTCTAATCTTCGGTATTTATATGGCCTTATTGTGTTGCAAGTGCCGTAAAACTCTTATTAAAACTAAACTACTAATCTAGATCTAGAATGTAAATTTTATCTGGCCTAAGATCTTTGGATTATTCATCTTATTTTTTTTCTAGCTCGAAAATCTTTTGAACCGAAACCTAGTTCTTAGTTTATGTGTCACAACACGATGGAGTCAGGCGCTCGTCAATTTTGGGGCGTATGAAATTATTGGTGTAATCTTAATGTACATAAAGCCACTTCATTTGCCTGTCTTTTGATGTAAAAATGCCCATGCATCTTGATTAGAAGTCGATATTTGCGACTGAAGGAGGTGGGGGTCACTAGCACGGTGTTAAAAGTAAAAATAAAAGTAAAAGTAAAATAAAAAAGAACATTTTAATGGTCGCCTAAATTTGGTGACTTCCAAAGCCTGAGAATTCTTGGAAACGACAAATTTACTTTTTTTGGTGCCATTGATAAACAGTTTTCAGTCACATCCTCGCAGAAAAAGTATTGTGTTTTTAAAACGGTGTTTTGCTCCCCCCCCCC